GAGTGATGGTAGCGTTTACAAAGTCACGAAATTCCTGGATTGGGATCAAATCTTGGGATCGTTTTTCAATCCCAGGATTGAAAGACAACCATAAACGAAGACAAAGCAACGGTGATGATAAAAGGTGAAGTAAGAGTGATGGCATTACGAAATTTTTGTTAACTCTTTTCTGAAAATCGAAAGCCGTGGTAATAATACTGTTTTGTAGTGATGTACCATTCATTGCTGCTTGGAGGATAAACAATATAAAATTACTGAACTGGTAACGCCTGACGTGTAGTTTAAGATGAGCATATTATCGGCATTCATAAAATTCCATGTTTTATCAAATCTCAAAATATCGCATTTATGTCTTCCAGAAGATCAACCACCGACAAGTAAGTTCGGCCTCGGGCCGAATTTTTTTTAAGCAGCTGACTGACAATCAGGAATTCAGTGACATTGTCGTTTTTGTATTTACCAAAAAAAAGGAATTATTCACTAAACTGGAGGAATCCGATAACTGGGCTATTACTTGCCCATAGTTTGGTATGTTGGCGCCCACAGTCATCTATTAGGAAATAGATGACTGTGGGCGCCAACAGTGGTTCTCACATTTGGGTGCTCCATTACCCATTTTGATGATCTGGCAGACCGCCGTTACCTTTCTTCCCTCATGATACAAGAACTTACTATTTCTACGTATAACGTTAGGAACAAACAGAAGACCGGTCCGGAAATTCCTTTTATGGCGTGAAAGAAATTAATTTTCTGGAACGAAACAAGTATTTTTAGAACTTTATTTTTCCATTGCAGAGACAATATGAACCTCGGCAATCAGAAAAGAAAAGCAATGAAAAAAAACTCTTCGGCGATAAAAATTGAAATTTAACAACAGTTTCAATTATTCATGAAGAAGGAAGATGCAATAAACATTTGAGAAATTCTCTTCGAGATGAACGGAAAAGCAATCGTTCCATCAACGTAATGGTTAATAATTAAGTGAAAATTCATCGGAGGGATGAAAGTAAATCCGAACTATCGAGGGTTTTGAGATGCGGCAGGTGCATTGAGTCTGAAACCAATGATCTTTTCTATCGTACCAAACGGCCCAATCAGTTCTTACTGCTCATGAGAGACGATTCAGCCAATATATTAAGGAACTTACAAAATAATTGTGACTACTTCAGACTGATTTTTATTCAGGCTTGGGTGAGCTGGAGATACTCAGAAAATAGGATGAAGACGAGTGTTTTCATGAGCGAGCCGCGTTTAGGTATCCGAGTGGAAAATACGCCATCACAATGGCGTTTCATCATAACAAAACAGCACCAAATATTGGTTTCTCTCAGTCAATCCCCAGTGTTGATGAGAAACGATGTCAGCCCATGATGTATTGAAGAACTTACGAAACATTTGTGACTAAACAGACTTTTGATTAGGCCGGGACGAGCTAATGATAGTCAGAAAATAGGAGAAAGAACAGTGTTGCCATGAACTAACCGCATTTACATACCCAAGTGAAAAAACACCATCACAATGGCGTTCTATCATAACATAATAACTGCACAAAATATCAATTTCCCGACCCCTCCGTTACCCCTTACGAGACCCCAAATTATCAAAAATGGGTAGTTTCACCCCCTATGAGAATCACTGCCTTAATCAAAAGACGTATCTTAGGTGTAAAAGTCAACTGATCAGTGAGTATTAAAATTAACGAACTATAAAAATCAGACGCCATATATGCATAGCTCTAAGGAAGGTAGCCTCAACCGAGGAATAGATTCAAGAATTATTCACTACCTACCTACAATGGAGCATGCAAACATTCAGATCGCAAATTCATTTTCAAGTAGTAGGTAGTTGGTATGAACAATTTTTATGAACAACGAGTGATTATTCATTTCGAACTACAGAATCGTGACTGGTGCCAATCAAATTGAATCATGCGGTGAATATGTCATAAAATGAGCGGTGTTAGCCACTCCATTTTTTAATCTTTTAAATAACTCCTCGTAGCTGTTGAGTGAACGTGAAATTCTGAGGAGACTATCGTAAAAACAAGTGGATTCTTTTTCATGAATGAATGGATGAGGCATTAGAGCAGGGTTGTGAATAATGCTGGTTTTTATCGTGATAGCATTCTTGTCTTGGTTTCTTCCACTCTTACCCATACTTTGCGCCGTGTTTTTCAAGTTATCAAATTACTTCTCGCGCCAAGTCTTTTATTTTCAAATAAATAGGTTTTTCTGGCCTTCATAACGTATTATGAGCATGTTTGGTTAAATGAAAGGAACCGAATGAAAGGATGAAAGGAACCGAAACGTAAATTACAATGATGTCATCATATGAATAACGTTTTATCTCATAAATTGACAGTTGATATTGATTGACATCTTGAATGGACAATTTACACTCTGCTTGATGATGATCTGCATTCTTATATTCAACAATTTTTTGCTTTGATTGCGTTTCACTGAATCAGCAACTTTCTGTTGATCATATTCGGAACAGCTGACGATTGCTAATAATACGAATGAAATGACTGTGCCGCAGTTTGTTATTCAATGATTCCATTAATAAGTTCTCGCATAGATGACTGTCTAAAAGCTTTTGAAACACGTGAAGTTGTTCTATGAAAAAGCTATTACGATGGTTAAAGGGTGGAAAGCAATTAGGAGATCTGACCTCCCTTTTCTAATCGCAGCAGACGTATTCTGTAATGCATCTGAATGTGAATAAGCAAAATCAAATGATGATCAAAATATTAACATTTAAAAACAACAAACAATTTAAAAGAATTGTTACAAATCAATAAATGTCGATCGGCACTGAATCAATATTCAAAGGAACAAGTAAAACCAACCTCCGAATATCAGTGGTAAAACCGCAACACACAATCTGCTTATAAATCATCCCGTCCTTTTCACAATGATGTTGGATAATATTTCCGCACTTGCTATAAAACGGCTTATTTCTCATGCAGAAACTGTCCTCTGACATGGCTACTTACGGGCACGGTCGAGACTGAAATAAAATCTTATATTACCAGTCAATAGTGATGTCTCTATTCCACACTTTTGGTGAAATGTTCTATTCTATTCTATTCCGCTCTTAAACGGCTCTATTCTATTCTATTCTGTGCATTCCTCTTTTGAGAACTTTTCTGTGCTATTCCTTGCAATAGAACAGGAACAGAACATTTTAACTAGAATAGAGACATCACTACTTGTCAGTAACGAGCCACTGCTACAAAAATAATGTCAAATGGTTCTTTTCTCCTGTTTTTCTCATTACCTATATTTGCTTAGGCGTCGTCGCTTTTCGTTAGACTGAAATGAATGAATGATTGAGACGTTTGAACAACTCAAGAATATGCATCCTTGTAAACGCATGCATCGACAAACAGTAACAACAACCGATCTAGTAAGAGGCGCAATGGAATAATGAACAGCAGATTTCAAATACAGAAATCATAATTTCAATGAAACATGCATGCATACGAATGCATGAGCTTAGCAATTTAGGATTTTTCGTTTTCCGCGACGAAACCACAAATCAGTGCCACGCGAGTCGCACAGCTGGAAAAGTATCAAGAAAACTTCTGAACGGCGGATTATTCATCATTTCCCCGTAGACACTTCTTCAACTGAACGGTTTCTTGAGACCACTTGTCCATCTGAGGAATCTTCGTTGACGCTTTTCCATACACCCACTCAACAATGCGAGTTGATTATGCTAGCTCTGATGTGCTTGTGAAATTTTGATTTATAACTGCTATAAGTTGTTGGAATATTCCTTACACAAGTGAAAAATATATTACTTGAACATATGTTTCTGAACAGTTGCAGACTTTTCTCCACTATACAAATTTTTTTAATAGACGTTTTGATCAATTTTGGACTGCTGGAAGAAACTTTTAGTTCGAGTGTCTTAAAATTTTCGGTAAATTCCAACACTTATCCAGTTTCGGTAAATTTGCTGTCGTAATCCAATCGAAAATTTTCGAAGTTCGGACGGAATATCGAGTTTCAGAATTCCAAAGAATGGATTCAGTCGGATTCCGACTAACAATTTTAAATTCCGGTCCGAATACCGAATTCAGGAATCTTGAAAAGCCGATTCGGTCGGATTCCGACTGAACCCGAATTCTGTTCGGTTACCATCACTACTATGGACTAGGTTCGGACTTTAGCTTGAGCTGAGACTTATGCCGAGGAACAACGTACTTTCAACAGATACAGAACCACCCACTCGTTCAATAGGTACTTCGGCCTCGGCAAGAGCCTTATTCTTAAGTCCAAGCCCAAATGCTATTATCCATTGCCACATTTCACTTTGATTATTGCCATTTCTGCAGTGCAATACTCAAATAATATTTGTCTTATGATGGATAGTGTATTATGATGATGTGCAGGTTTGCACGGAAACCGTTGCACACTATGCCACGCCTACTTTTCATTGCTTTCAGCTTTACATTCAGCGAATGTCCAGCAACCGATTTAAATGCTAGCTTTTGACGAGCATGCAAATCATCCACGGAAGACTGCTCGTGCACAAACCCTATTTTTCCTGCTGGTTAAGTCGTGACACTATTCATCGTTATGGTGGAAGGTTTCCATCAATATTTTTTTCATCAACTTATTGTATTTAATTTCATTTGATAATACTAACTGAATCATATTTTAGTTGTTTTGCCACTATTTCCTAACATTCTGTGCATTCTTAATATAAGCTGACAGACGCGCTCAGAGTATAATAAGCGAGTAGGATTTTATCTTGGATCAGCGAGGTCTGATACAGTCTATTCAGTTCCCGTAGTATCGTTTGAGGCGTGCAGGGCTGATATATAAGATCCAGATACCATAATTTTGTATATGTAAATCATTTACTTGTCGCGGTTTCGATGCGGTCAAGAATACCTTTGCTAGTGGATTATGAGAGCGGAAACAGTCGATGATTGTAACGAAGAGTTGAACGGTAATTGAAAGGTAGTGAATATTCGTTTAGATTATGTTATGATTTCAACAATACTCGGACGTAGTTCATTTGCTGTGCTCGCATCTTCCGTAAAACTAGCCAACTATTCGGCATGCTCATTTCGTCATTTAAGAACGATGCCATCTGAAGTCGATAAGGCGCAAACTGCGGTTGCCGGTGGTGACACAATTTTCGGAAAGATCGCTCGTAAAGAAATTCCTGCTAAGATCATTTATGAAGACGATGACGTTGGTTTTTCTATGCAATTAATTGTTTCTTCTGAAGCATCTACATGACTGTCTTTTACCTTGCACACCTACCTAAATGCAAGCAAAAAATTGTCTATTTTGCTGTATGTTGTCGAAATATTTCGCGGTGAATAAATTGGATTTCATCTTGAAATTGTAACTTCATTCAGTGATTTTTGGCATGCATTAAGTAGAACGTGAAAATTTATATCCAATTCATCAGCCTTGAGGAAAGCAAAAAAAAAAAACGAAATGGATGACTGAACAAAGATATTTGGCTATTTAATCGTTGCCACATACTTGGTTATCTAGGATCTTAACGATTTGATTGTTGAAAATTTTCATCAAATTTTTTTTCAAGTAAAAAAATCTGTTCGGTAAACTTTGTAAATAAGCATCAGTTATGTTTGTTGTTTCATATCGAATATGTCCTTTCAGACAATGGCGTTTCATGATGTGTCACCTCAGGCTCCAGTCCATTTCCTTGTCATTCCCAAAAAACCTCTAGACATGCTTCAGAATGCCACTCAGGAAGTAAGAACTCTGCAGTTTTTTATTCTGTTATTTCTAGATTCACTCTAATAGCATTTAACGAATTTACGTTCATTTCCTATCCTATTTTGTTTTGCTTCTATTTGCAACTGATTCAAGTGATTCATATTTAAAAGTCAGTAGAAGACCTCGTCGTGGATTGAAGTGAGCGGTCTTTTCCTTTGTGTTATCAGTTGCTCTCTTGAGCAGTGAGACTGCCTGGAAACATGTGAATTTTTTTGATGACTTTGTATGCTGTACCGTTTCATCGATATGCTTTCAGGATGAGGCATTATTAGGCAAATTAATGCTGACAGCAGCGAAAGCGGCGAAGATGTTAGATTTAAAAGATGGCTATCGAGTGGTTGTAAATAATGGACGTCATGGATGTCAAAGTGTTTATCACTTGCATTTACACATTCTTGGCGGACGACAGCTTTCTTGGCCACCCGGATAATTTATTTCAATAAGAATTTAATGAGAAAGAAACACGGTTATATCGGTGATTGTTGCTTTTTGGTTTAGGATTGATTCTTGTTTATTTTTTGTTGTTCAATTGGTCGTAGGAATGCTCCTGTCGTTTTTCAAGATTCTCATCTCGGGTTGTAATTTATATCAGTTATGAAAGATATTTCATTATTTGCTTGCGTGTCACTCATTTTGCTCGATTCCAGAGAACTGCTGTTATATGTTGAGATTTTAAGTAAATATTTCGCTTTGTATTATCGTTGTCATACTGCACGGTACATCTTTTAAAAAATTGTTATTGGATCATTCGTTTAATGGAAAAGCGAAGGTATTACATTAAGGAAATGAGAGTGAATAATTTCACAACTATGAAGCTTCAAAAGTAATTTGATTTAGGAAGTAAATGAGTTATTGAATAGCCGATTATTTTTGTTTATATCGTTTTGATCGCCCATTCAAATCATACGATGGGATCAGCCCAGACGCAATCTTCCTCAATTTTTAAATTATATTTAGAACCAGCATGTTTGTATTCTGAAGTGACAATACGAAACCAGCCATCCTCACCCTGAAACTATCGATAATTAAACTTTGAATGGATGAGAGGATTGCAAGAGATAAATGAGTAAGTGTACTGATTTACCCAAGGTGTTCCCCAACTATTTCTGCCAATCCAGTACGGAACACCAGAATCGTGTTGAATGCCCCATCCGTAAACTGATATGATATGATCGATTCCCTCACTTGTTTCTTCTTTGTAGATACCACCCGAATATGTTTCAAATTTTTTTGTCGCAGCGATACCACATCTAAGTAAGTTTTCTGATGATTATATACAATAAATCAATCGTATTTAATGCTAATAATATATTGCTGAAGAGTGCTTGTAGTAGAAATAATGGTGAATGTTTGTTTTTGTGATACCAGAACAAGTGTATTGATGCAATTAACTCCATAAAAGCTGGCAACAAAAGCGTCTTTTCAAGGTTCAATGATGGAATGGACTGCACTGTGATGGTAACCGATTGAAGTTCGATCGGCTAATTCCGAACAACTTTTTAACTTTAACAATTTTTCATTACTTCATGGAATTTGCCGTTAAGATTACTATCGTTAAATTTGAATTTCTTCGGTATGAACGAATTCCGGAGATTTGTAGATGGACTCAGTCGGATTACGACCACTATCACAATGGATAAAACATTATTAAGTGATGATTGCCAGTTTTTTTCTGTGGATTTGATCACAGAACCTCTCNAATAAACACGCTATCAATAATTGTCGCTCTTTAAAAAACTAATTTTGCAACACAAAAAGTTGACTGATTGCGCTGATTTTGAGTGAAAATATTTTGTTTGAAAAACGATAAATGACCTTCAAATACATCACGAAACAAAGTGTTTAACAATTCAGCATTCCAGAAACATCTGGAATTCGCAAAGGTAACGCTAAAAACACTAATCTGAATTAGGAAATGCCTAATAACTCGTAAAGATGTAGTTGTTTTTAAGTGTTCTCAATTTTGACCTTTAAATTTGTTTAACTCTTAGATGATCACTTATTCTTTTTTGCTCATGACCTATTCCTATTCAACTGCTTTCATCAACTTTCTAAAAACGAAAAAAGTTTTCAGTACAGGCGTTTTGTTCTTTGAAAGTGGACGATAGCAATCGAACGGGAATAGGCTATGAATGAAGAAAATGGGGTGAATGCCAATGTGCGGATTAATTAAATCGCACTTTGTTCTAATTCAGAAGGAATTCTTTCAACCATTAGTTCCCAAAGTGACCGAAGTGAACTCCTCAAGGTTAGAGTTCAGAAGTAGATTGCCTAAAAGTTTAAGCGTTGAAGGTGTTTTGCAAAAGGAGAAACTCATTTTTAAATAATCTTGATTATTTCCCCATTCCAAATATATCAGTGATAATTTTCGTCAATTGCTTTCTCTGGATTTGTTCGAAATGTTGGAATGAAGTGATATTTCGTTGTGACATATAAGATTCAAACGGTCAACTTACGCGATCGGTCCATTTTCAAAGATTTCGGCTTTCATTTTGTTGATCGTCGATACTCGGCCGTAATCACCAACTTTGTAAAGCGTATAATTACTAATTGAAAAGCAGTCATCTGGCCAACATGATCCACATTTATTGTATGGAGTACATTCTGTAATGTGAATCACGTGAATTTTGATCGAATTCATAAGGAGACTGTTTGTCAATCAATGGGTACCGATGAATCAGTTACGTCCTGATAAAAACGTTGGTCGAGCAAGCATCAATGAATACGTAAACTAATTGATGTATGCGTTTACTTCCATCTCTTGCTTGATAGTTGTTGCAAGTCTCATGTGGGATGCCAATGTCATGTGCGAACTTATAAACACCTCCAGGTTCACCACCTTCACAGCTTCCTGTTCCTCCACAGTCAATTACCTGTATGAGTTCGATTGAATTAGAAAGCGATATGAAGAGCTACTTCTAAGCTACTTTCTTAATTGAACAATATGATATCAATGTATTGATCATTTGATCATAAATCCAACTACGATATTTTATTTGTATCCCTATTAATACGAAGACATTTTACTTATTATTTAGACAATCTTCTTAGAGTTGCAAACCTCTTGAACAGATAAATGTACTTGAGGCCAAGCGTTTTTCCGTTTTATATTGAAACGATCTGCTAGGGCGCTGGTTGCTCCTTCAAAAAAGTCTTTTCAAAATGCAACAATTTAGGGAATTCATCAAAAAATTTATCCTCAAGGCTGATAGCTAACCGACAATACGAAGATTTACTAGAACTCAATCAGTAATAAACTGGATTTCAGTATGGAAATTTGGTTGAAGTTTACCAGCAATTTCAGCTGGAAGATGCCGTAATTTTTGAAGATGAAACTAAATTTCCCGAACAGCTCATCTCAAACGTCGTGGAATTTAAGAAAATTCACATGTAACATCGAAGCCGTGAAAAAATCACAGAATTAGGAAGTGATTATTTCTAATGAAGTTTAGAGTGAAAACGAAATGAAATCAGCTACGAAACAATGCAACAATGTAAGCAGTGAAATTTCTTCATGGGTTGAATGCTTTTCAATGATAATGTCATTCATTTTGAATTTTCTGCTTAAACTTTCTGCTTCTGTACAATCAGCTTAAAGTTCTGTTGATTGTCCGCAAGAAGAAACCATTTCATATTGAAACTCATTATATAATAAAAGTTGTTGATATTAACTTCCGAGGATAAGGCCAATAATTGCTTGATAAAGTCAATACTAAGCAATTTCAAAATATCGCTAAGGGAAGGAATGAAAAAAATTGAAATTTTGTAATTAAATTGAAATTGAAATAGATAGAAAGTTGATAACAATTTGCACATCGATGAGGGTTTGGTAAAAACAAAGAAAGATAACTCACCAAAAGCCCAGCAAGATCCACAATCTGAAAAATGTAAATAAATTTCGGTTCATTTTCATCGAAAATTCAATTTTGGAATTATTATTTGAATCAAAAAATTGGGATGATTTCCATTTCTGAAATTTTCTTCATTATATTATCAGAATTGATCTGTTGTCGATATGGTAAACTTATTATTTGTAATTCGTAGTGCAATACTTTTCAGATGTTAGTGATTAATAAGAGAGGGGTTTTGAAAAGTTATTCTGGTCATAATAACACAGCCGTTACGAACAAATCAATAGCAAATTCTTTAGAAATCAGCTCAAAAGTATGAAGAAATGAGAAATACATTTAATTCTTATAATTCTTATTTTTATTCTTATTGTTCGATTAGTACATCCTTTTCATTCAATATGTCTTGGAATTATTTTGATCTGTCATTGACAAATATAACAAAGTTACAAATTTCCACTCATACAGCGAGGAATATGCTGGTTGCGATCGATTCCTGCGTAGTTCACACCATCTTTATTACGCCAATCAAATGAAATCGGAAGTGCATCAAAATCATAATCTGGATCATCATACTGCCTCGGCAATAATCTGTAAAACATGATGACTGATTTTTTGCTATCCTTGACGATATTTCAGTAAGTTTTCATCTATCGAAAACTCTTCATTATGTAGATAATGAATGTGATCACCATAGCCGCTAGAATATCCGGATGCGAGTGTATGTCGTAAGGACAAACAATTCGCTATATAAGTAAAGATAAGTTTGCACAAATTGGTACTTCAGAATGATCTTTTTGCGAATTTAGATTCGGCATAAAGATAAAATAGAAATGAAGTTATCCGGAGAAAATCCAATATATCGAATAAGAAGCAAGTTCACAACGAAAAGTCATAAATTAATTCCGTTCGCTGATTCAAAACAATGCAAGGTATATGAAGTGGAATAGCTGCATCAAATGTTCAGTAAAACTATTGTGATAAACATTCAAACACTTACCTGTGTTCGTATATTCTAGACGTCTTCTTGTAACAAGGACTTTCGTTATAACGATTCCGTTTCTGGTGCGCTAGTTTACGATACTTCTTTGCCTCATTCAGAGCAACTGCGATTATGAGCAGAAGGAAGACCAGTCGACCTTGCATTTCAGTATCACACAGTGATTATGATACATTAATGTAATCAACTGTCTTATCAACCTGGTAACAACATCACTTATCAAGTGAACTTTTCGTTGATAAGAAACATTAATGACATGTCACTCACATACCAATAAACAACCCTTCTTATCATTGCAGTGAACCAAAAATATACTTACATGCATCGCCTTCATACCCATTCCATTAGGGATTGTTCATACATATTTTGAAGAAGGAACTTCCAAATGTTTAGCTCTGCATTATAGATGGATTGACTGAATATACTCTCTCAGCCAAGCTTTCAAAAATTAATTACAATTAGCAGTTTAGCATCAAAATTATGCTACATGATAACATAGATTAGTATGTGTTATTCTGGATAGCTAGCAGTAGTGATCAGTTACGGAACAGATTCAATTGAATGCTGACTGTTGATTGCATATAAGCAAAATTCATCTTTCTACTATTCTATCCTCATCAGAAAATGGCACCACGACTGAACACAGATGAGAACTTCATTCACCAAACTCTATGTTATAGCCATACATACACCAGTCCTTTACAATATTTTCGAATAAGATTCTCTCCAGAGGATGTGTGCTCAACTGAACGATTATCATAAAATATCTATAATCGTTACGACAGAATTTCTCAATTCGTTGTTAATAGGTGCAGTTGTTAGGAAATGCAAATAAATACGATATACGACCATTGCCCAGTTGTGTTCTATGTGGTTGATTAAACTTGACAACACTGCTTCGTTTCATAGATAGTGGTTCATAACGATCACGTTTGCGAACCGAATATCGTCAGGATGTCTGAGTCTTCAAAATCTTATGGCCTTTTGATTAGAATAAAGTAACAAATATTGGATGACGTTTGATAGACATAGTATTTTCGTATAAGCGGAGTGTATCGGTCGTCGTTATAATTCAGTTGTAGCAATTGCTTATCCAGGACGGCTTTCTGTGGCTGAATTGTTTATCACGTTGAGATACAACACTTTTACATGTCCACCGATGCCAGCTTATAATTAGCAATAACTTCTGAAACGAATTCGTTTTGACGATGACGTTCGAGGATATTGATTGCTAATCACGGCTGAGAAATGCCAAAGCGTGATCGTTTTTCGTCTCGTCTCGCCACCCTGCGATCGTAAGTGAAAAAAAATAAATAAAAAAATATTCACTATGTCATTGGAAAGAAGGGAATTTGAGCATGCATCATTCCGTCTCGTTTCGTTAACTCCTCGTTAGACCACTCAGTAATTACCACTACGGTTACGAGCGGGACTGAAATCTCCCCGTCCCTCCTCTTCTTCGTGGAATCCGGGGTTGGGGTCTCAATTCACGGAATTCCCTGCCACTTCTACTCAAGTGTCCGAAAATCCCCACTCAAGCCAACCCCCCCCCCCCNGTTTGAACAGATTTTTATGGCTTTCTTTACTTCATGCAATCACATTATTTGTCTATTACATCATTTTCATCCTTTTTTCTGCGTTGTTCGATTTGATTTAGTCAGTTTAGAAATGAACAGAGCTAAATCGTAAAAGCAACAGCGTGCGATCGCGTCACAGAATTGATGTGAATTCTCATCAGCTGAGAAAATTTTCATATATTTATGTACTTGTAATCCTCTCCTAATTAGCGATACTGGAAAAGGAATTCATTTGTGCTATCATTAGCTATCGAATAATTTTTAAAAGCAGAAATTTACCCTGCAAATTTGATTTTGTCATGAGGTAAAAACTTGCATGCAAAACGGGAATATTTATTCTTGAAAAAAAGAATCTGAATTATGGAACTTATGAATGTTCGAAATTCAAAAGAGCCACAATTGTAAACCTAGAACACTAGAAATTAACAGGATCGTTGTAGGAGACAAGTGAACGAATGCATTCAATGCCAAAAACTGAATTATCACAACAAGTGAAGCCATACTGAATGAGCCAGTGAATAAACGTAAGAGTAGCAATTGAATTAAGATCGAAGAAGACGATTTTATTGGAGGTACATCGAAGAGGTAGAGCGATGCTTTGACATCAAGAAAATGATGAATTTGAGCAAATAATCAAAAGATGGCACTGACTTGAAACAATTCGAAACATTGTTCAAACAACAAACATCGAAACAAACAATTAAATTATTTGTCAAATCACGAAAACAAAATGTTGATCGCATAGATGTTACTCTGCTCATTAGATGTTTAAGAAGGCAACATATAGCAAAACGAATAAGTAAAAAATACGGAAGCGAGACTGATATGAACAGTAATCAAACAATCAATTAACAATATTATAATAAAGTAATGAACATTCGAAGTAGAATATGCTTCAACCGAAAAGCAGATGTTTCATCATCATATTTGCATTCAAAATGATTATGGATCGTTTGAACGAATCAATTTGAGATACACAATTAATTAATTCTTCCGTTTCATGAACTTGAGAATAGCCTGCATGCATTCTTCACTCAACCAACGCTCAGTTAGCAGTTTCACTTCATGCTTATTGCATTGCAACAATCGTTCCTTATGTACACTACGCAATATCTGCTTGTTGAGTCTCAGCGATTCAGGTGGTAGATTTGAGTAAGCAGTTACAAGTTTTGATGCTTCACTTAGAAAACTACTTGCAGGTATTACTTGATTTACTAAATTTCTTTCCATAGCCTCCAATGCCGTTAATTTACGACCAAACAGTAACACTTCAGCGGCCTGAATATATTTGCAATTAGTATGTTTTTCACACTTACATAAGACAACAGATCACAACTTTTTGCCGTATCGTGACAAAATACACATTAAATGCTGGACATTTTTTTTGCGTTATTAAAACGTTAAATGCTGGACATTATTAAAACATTGGTAATAATATTTTCATAAAAGTATTTAATTAAATGAGCATTTTATAACGCCGCTTCAAAAATCAATCACCACTGGAAATGCTATACGATGATGAGCGATAAAAAGAAGAATGGAAAAAACCTACTTTCAAATGTCCCATCAGAATCGGAAAAGTGTATGTTGAACAGCCTTCGGGAGACTGTCCAAGAGTTGCAAACGGTGTATGGAAGGTGGCCTGAATAACAAAAAATTAAAAAACTGCCAATATGTTGCAATCGTATAGTTGTGGTACACTTCAACACAAATGAATGAGGATAAGCTGAAGAATTCGCTGATGAGTGACCAAAAAATGCTCAAAAACAAGAAGCCAAATGAAATTGAATGAGAGCTATCTTCGAATGAATCAAATGAAATAAAATAAAACTGAAATACGAATGACAATGAATCGATAGAATGCGTAGAATCAAATGGTCCACAGTGAAGTCGAATTCAAAAGAACTTCATGATGACAAGAAAATGAAAAAGATGAACAAATCAACAGTGATAACCTTATCCGATGCAATAACCACATCACATAAAGCAAGTAGAGTGACAGAAATTCCGATTGCAGGCCCATTTATAAGCGCAACTAATGGCTTTTCATGATTGATAAACGCCTGCACATACGCATCCAATACTTTACCACCTTCATCTGCCATACGCACCATATCCTCACGACTTTTAACACGTGCAAAATTCGACAAATCATTCCCACTACAAAAGTAATCGCCGGTTCCTATAATAAATAAATACATACCAATGAACATTCAGGATGCGAACAGAAGAACCTTTTATATTAGGAATTATTTTATTGCTGGTAGGCAAAGTTTGAAGACCACAAATCAAAAAAATTCTGATGCGAATGAAAAAAGATTCTGGGCTGAAATCATATGATAAAGAAACCAATGGTGATCATATTTAAACACAGTAGTATCACTGATGAAACAGACAGAAGACTGACAAAATGAAGGCAATATGTTAAAAATACAGACCAGTAAATACTGTGATTGATGTACTCGTATCTTTACTCGAATACTCCAGAGCATTCGTTAAAACTTGATACATCTGAAAATTCAACAATATTATTCATCAAGACTTGGAAATTTTGACACATTATTTCTGCCGAACAAATGCTTCGTTAGAGCAGCAATTTTGGTCTGTTATCTACACGGTGAAAATAAGGCACACTATGACGCTTAGACTTACGAACTTGCATGTGATACATCAAAGTAGTTTAAATAGAAAGCCAAACTGGCAACTTTATAATTTTTGAATAAACTGTAGAAATTCTAACTTCTATTGTAATTGCGTTATATTTTTCCGGTCGATTGAGTTCAATTTTGAAAATTTTGCCTTCTTTTGAGAAGTTAACGCCTGGAACCGATTCTAAACCACTGACTTTACTTTCTGCACGATCGCCGGATTCTTCATTTTGTTCACCCAATAATGAGTTGACAATCTGCGAATATTGTTCCTGCGCTTCACCCTGAAAATTTTGACAAACATTCCCAACCAAAATCAGTTCCTTCCTAAAACCATTTTACAGTTCGTTTGGAGTGAAGAGCATTTTTTCTAGACAAATATTTGCAATTGAAATGTCGCTTGAATTTCGTAATGAAATAATTGGCACACAAAAGTATGGTTGTGCAAAACAGTGAGTCAATATATAAATGGGTATCATAATCATTCTGAGGAATTAAAACAATAAACTGAAACAGTAAGCAAACAAGACCGAGATGTAGAATATGAAACAAAAAAAGATTCAACAAAAGAAATTCCTCGTGAATGTTACCTGCAGAGTTCCTTTCAAACTGTTCCAAGCATCAAATTTTGCCCTTCCTGCAAAATCGAGAGCACTCGGTCTTTTACCAGACGCGTCACCTAATGTTGCCTAAAGTGAATTATAGCAGTTTTACAAATCCAAAGCAATATCTAATACAAATTCATAACCCCTCAACCAATCCCGACATACTAATATCGCAATTTACTATTCGAAATGAAACTATCAATGAAAGTATCATTCCCTCAATCACAACCAATGAAGTTATTAACGCGTCGATCAGCGCGGCAATTAGTATTGACCACTCAAGGCGATCGTGTGAAAAGTCAGTAACAACACTATGTTTTCAATGGACATAATGCGTTGTGAATCGATTGGAAAATTTGCCTGTTTGTACAAATTCTATAACTGGTTAAAGTTAATTAAGCACAAACATATTTGCAACCGATAACCAATCATGAGAATTTGTCAATCGGACTCTGTGCGGTTGGTTTGCTGATTGTTCACGGCGATCAGCAAAATGCTGTGATTATTAACTGGATTTAAGTTTACTATACAAAATAGCCATGCCAACGAGCATTCAGTATTACTTGGCTGTCGAATGATTAATATGTCGATAACTATGGATCTGTTCGGTTACAATGATTAAAATCATTGTGCTTTATTCGTGGTTTACTACTACTACCTGTTTCAAACAGTTACTCCGAGCGACCACTACACACATTTACCCCCAATCAAGCGAGTACATCTTTGGGCTCATTTTGACCCCCTCTCACTAGAAATCACAGGGTATTATGGAAAAACAACCTAGTACCTGATCGCCAAATCGATAATCGAAATTGGAATCTCATGACTCCGTGATATCGTTAGGTATGCGGAAGGAAGAATGTGATTTTGGTGACAGCGGAGAAGCATAAAGCCGCAGATTGCGACTGAATGACGACAATAAATGAAAAAATATCAGAACCTGTTTATAAAGTGCATACAGTTTCAATTTTACATCTACACTTGGTTCTTGGTGCAGTTTTTTAAGGTCTGCTTGAGCCTTCTCGAAATGCGTTGAGGATAAGCACCTGAAGGTTAGAAAAACAATTGCAGTCAAAAGTTTCATAAAATGTATGCTTATTTTGTGGAGGAAAATATTACTGAATTGCTGATATATGATGCTATGAGAGAGCAAAGTTTATGCGGATAGTGATGTGCAGTACGCGAAAACTATCTCGCATTTGAGTATATTCGGTTTTAAAAAATTCAAGCAAACCTCGGCGAAATACGTGACAACCGTATTTGCGTTGAAGCCAGTACTTTCATTGAAGACATGCATCGTTGCAACAACAGCATTTTAACCTAAAAACATTTTTAGCTTGCGTAATCTTATAGCTGAAATTTGATTCGAATAAAAAAACCTTAGCGCAACAACGTCTTTGTAGTTTTAACAACTAGTAAAATAACGAAAAGTTCCGACACAAAATCAACGAGAACAAGATTCCAATTTGAAAGAGGAAAATCATTTAAAGCATAACACAAAGCGTGGTACTAATTCGATGTATAACAACTGCCAGCGCTGAAGAACATCGGCTTATCAAGAACGAGCATAACTGTTTCCAACATCAACACAATAATTCACAGCTACTAATTCAGTTCTCAACATCGAACCAGGCAATGGGCGTGTACCAAAGCAGCATCAACAGAGAGAAAGAAAGAAAGAAAGAGAGAGAGAGAGAGAGCAACGCGCGTCGTTTCCGTTATCGAGAAGCGGAATAACAATGAAACAATGATTCCACTTTGTCAAGCTTCGCATCGCAAATGTAACTCCTTTCGTCGGGCATACCAAAATCACTGATTTTAACTTCGTACTTAGCTGACAATGGGCAATTTCGAGCGGCGATATCCCTAGTTGAAGTAAAATGGTGACTGCATATGAATAATATCAGAGGTCAAATGTTGTTTTCACACGGTCATTTACTTATCTGTTTAAAACGTATTCATTTTAGTGCACTAAAAATACCTATGAATGCAGTTTTTCGATTCGAGGTATGCTAATCTAGCGGATGTCTCAGTCAGAATGCCGCGCATAACATCAGAAAAAAAAANAAAAAAAAAGCCGCATCACAAATTGAAAACTAATCCAGAAAATACTAGGTGGCATAAAATAATTTAATCGTCTAGAGTGAAACAAGTACATTAGAGATTCATTTATCAGTTGCGGAAACAATATGAACCTCCACAATTGAACACGAAATGTAATGGGAAAACATTCGTCAGCAATGAGAAAAATGAAATTTATCAACAAATTCACTTCTACCCTCAATTACCCCCTGACACCTCCAGGTAACCCTTAGAGGTAATTTACACCTATCTTCCTTCCGAACCTATAGAAGCAAAATGTCCAGAAAATCTTTCTTCCGTAAACATTCGAAATGATTCATTCGAAAATTGCTGATAAAAATTTCATTGAAAATAGAACATTGTAAAAAATTGATCATTTCAAATTATTGTCCGCTTGAATGCGTCCTATCAAAATCCTTTATCATTCTTTCGTTGTTTTAATCCGATTCTTCGATTTTTATCCTACTGTTTTTATGGGCTGTATCCATTTTCACGATCCTGATAATGTTCTGATTTTTCCAGACTCTCAACATTTTCAACAACATGTCAATATTATGAAATGCAGAGTGTGGCAATTGTGGATGCGATGTGACAGAATATTTCGAAATCTTATTTTCCTGAAAACTATTCAAAATCACCTCATCATCGACACACCGAACTAATATAGATCACAACCGCTCAATAAAATCGCCTCCACAATCTAACATAGTTTCCAAACGATAACAGAACCGCGAACACGCTCTTTTTATATCTTCAGGAAACAAATTCAGAAGCACCCGGAATTCAGAAGTACCCAAATTATAAGTAGTGGCGAAAATATGTTCTCGTACATTGTGAGCAAGTTCGGGGCCTTTTCCACACATTGGGGTGGGGGTCTAGCATACCATTTACTAATGATAATGCTTAATATCATCGCATGTGCTAGCAATTTCGTCTTCATGATTCTAAGAAAATCATTAAAGTATGTTTTTTCTGCGTTAATATGATCCTGCTCCTTCCATAATCTCGTCGTTTTTCGTTCCAACAAACATGGCATAGCTCATCCTCTTTCCTTTCCATCCCTCAGATAAAGTCCCTCAGTTTGTAAAAAACGCATATGAGTCGAAAACATATTGAAAACAGACATATTGTTACGAGTACAGAAGCTATTAATCTTCTAAAATTTGATCTATAAAACTACTTATAATTTAGCTGCCAGCTGCCACAGCCTTGGATCATTCATCACTGGACTATGATCATTCATCATCCTATATAATCGCAGCAATTTCGACGTTTTATCCAAAGAATATTAAACCCATTCATAGCGAACAGTAAGAAATAGCACTGAATAAATTCAACTAAATGGTGAAAGTAAGTAGTACCTCAGGGGACTGGTAACTACGGTAACTAGCCACGTCCACAAATTACGGTAAAACGCCACGCCCGCATTTAGGCCACGCCCACTTTCAAATCTGATACGCCCGCTTACAAAATTTTTGTCAAATGCACTTTCAAGGAAAGTGCAACAATGACACAAAGAAGTGAAAAAATCAGAAACCGTTTATAATTTTATGTCAATTTAATCTCTAAACGTCAGATCACAACAGTAAGCGTTGTCCACGGCTACAAGGCCATCTGGAATGCACATTCAAACGTTCCCACACCATTTAGAAACGTATCATTACAGATCATTGCATACATTAATATAGCATTATAGAGTTTGTCATCTTCAAGCTACCGGTACTCCCAAGTTTGCCCAGTAACATATGAACTTCTTTACACCATCAGATTTCTCAGATCCCCAAGATACAGAGAATCATATATTCTGCCGAGCGATTCTTCTTAATCGAGGAGATATAGCCATTTTCTTGAACCTATCTCGATCAGCTCAATCGCTCTCATTCATTGTACAACTTATCACTATAGATCACTGTATACATTAATATAGCATTACAGAGTTTGCCATCTTCAAGCTACCGATACCCTCAAGTTTGCCCGATAACATATAAATATTTGTGCACCAGATGGTCCAGCGTAATCTCTAGATTCCGAAAAACATATTTTTTGTCGTGCAGTTCGGCTTTCTTGAGGAGATGTAGCTATTTTTATAAAGTCAGCTCAAGTCAGTTAACGCAGAGGCACTCATTCAAATACATTGTACCACTATAGATCAATTGTATACTTTAATATAGCACTGTAGCAGTTACGATCTTCAAGGTACCGGTACTCTCAGGTTTGCCCGGTAACATATGAATTTCTTTGCAACATTCGATCCAGCGGAATCTCAGCATTCAGAAAAATAAATATTTTGCAGAGCGATTTTGCTTAATTGAGGAAATATAGCTATTTTCTCAAAGCTATAGGGGCTACTATGATGAGGCCTACCCTATTCTCAGCTAGGCCCCGTAGCATGTCAATTTCTTCACACCATTCGATTCCTCAGAACCTCTAGATTCATAATTGCATATATTTTGCTGAGGAGTTCGGCTTTCATGAGGGGATATAGCTATTTCCTTGAGGCTATATCAAGGAGCTCATTGGCGCTGATTCATATATATTGTATTCTTATTGATCAATGTATTCATTATTATTTGACATATAGGGTTACCTTCTTCAAAGCAACGGTACTCTCAGGTTTTTCCAGCAACACATTATTTTCTGCAAGCTGTCAGATTTTCCAGATTCCCTGCTTTCAAAATTGTATGGCTTGGTTAATTTCAATGCGCTGTACCTGTATTGGTCATTCATTAGCATGACAGTTTGAGGATCACAAACCGTCGGCCTTCTCAGGTTTATTTGCTCAAATCAAGTGATGAAATTCGTTTCCTTTGATTGAAGGTGAAGACGAACGGGATGTGACGATGGAAGTCATGAACAATATAATGTGTTTATATCAGTGCATTTGTGAGACTGGTAGAATCTCTTCCGAATGTGG